ACAAACCCTCGACGCAAGGGACGCTGTACGTTTAGCAGACATTCATTTCCAGAATGCAGTCGACGATGTTCCGCACCAACGTCCTTTAGAAGTTGAGAGTAGTGGGCATCGGAGGCAAAATTCTTACGTGGATCGAATATATCCTCGCTGGTTGTTCCCATTTTGTTTTTGTAGGAGACAACTTTCAACGCTCACAGTCATCGAGAGTGGAGTCCTTCAAGGCTCAGTTATCCGACAAACCCTCTTTCTTTTGTTTTTTAATGATTGTGCAGAGGAATTGGACGGTATGTACCATGTTTGCAGAAGATATAAAATTATGGAAGGTCATTAAGAGTGCTGCCGATGAGGCCCAATTTTAGGAAAACCTTTAATCGTACGGTCGCGCAGATGGTTCTTGTCCTTAAACTCGAACAAATGTGCTCTGCTGCATCTCAGAAATCGAAATACTGTCCCAGATACGCGAACTTGCCAGCTGACTGGAATACGCTTCAAAAAATCAGAAATATGGAATTATCTCGGCGTTTGGATGACAGGCAATCTACAGCATTCTACTGAAAGTTGTAAGACGGCTAAAGCTGCAACTTTAATGTTTCACGCCATCAAGTGGACAATCACATGATTATTTTTTCTAAAATTATTGGTACATTTATTAGGTCACATCTTGAATACGCAATCTAAGCCTGGAAACCGTGGAAGGAAGAGGATTACATCTTACTCATAAGGGTGTAGCGGCGGGCCACGACATTAAGCGTTACAACTTTAACCACAAATTCGGTTACACAGTTCGGCTAAGAATGTTTTACCATTGGACAGCCCTACATTTTTTCCCTATAATTTCCACGGATATAGGAAAATGGGTACTGCACTATAGTGCTCTCTCAGCTTGTACTCGAACTAGTGGGACAAGGACCTTCTAATTATGATATGTAGCCTAAGTAATCACAAGATGGCGAACCCTAGTTGTACTTGTCAAATATTTCGCCAGACATGTATTTTGCACAAACTGGGGGTTGTATTAAAGCATCAGCAAGCTTTGTCATCGACCGTGTCTGCTAGTCAAAACAAGTATATGATGGAAGACATGTGTCTTGTGACAAATGAAGTCGATAAAGTAATCGCATCTGCTTCAAAGAAAGTATGTCGTTCACTAGTGAACCTTTCAAATGTTAGGACTGCCACTATAGACCAGGTCGCCTTCATCGTGCATTTAGCCTATTTTTATTTCGCCAAGCAACATCTCAGTCTGGCCAACCACACCTGGAACTGCTTCTCCAACAGCGAGCGTCTACAAAACTTACGTTTCCAAACTTGTGGACTAATACTTGTTGTAGTCACCCACTTGAAAATCAGCCGCGTGAAACCGAGGAACATAAAGCCCTGGGCGTGAGACTAGCAGCTCAGCGAAAAGTAAGTATCCTTTTTAAACGTTAAAATGTTGATATGCTTCACTGAAATACAGTCAACTTTTTCATGGACATTAACGTAAGCAATCTTATTTACCACATTGGCAGTGTCCTAAACTTTAACACTCATTGGCACTTATTCATTTGTCGAAGGTTTTTTGAGCTTCTAGGCGAAAACGTCATTTCATTCACAGTTGATTACGCTGGCATCCGGTTTCCGTTTTTGCTTCCCTTAGTTAAACTTGCACCTCCCGCACATGTCTCCACCTAATGTTATGTGCCACGTGTATATATTGTCTCGGAGTATTGTTTCAGTGAGTACGGTTTTAATATTACCAGTGTGCTTTTTTGAGCAAGAAATTTACTCTTCTCCACTGTTCCCTTGTCATCGTTGCTGGTTATATTTTTAACTATCCAAAAGAGACTACTTTGATAGCAATTGTGAAAGTGATATTTTTGTAGTATAAACTACGCACAGTGCGTAAAGAGGTTTGCATTCGTTAAAACCTATCTGAGGTGCGAAAAATAACCTGTCATAAAGGAAAGCTGGGATCATCATTATAATGATGATCCCAGCTTTCCTTTACTTTATACAGTAAGCCCGCTACAGAAAGTTCAGTACGTGGAGTATAAAAGTCCTTTAAAAAACATTTTTCAATGAAATTTCAGGAAATTTAACGTAACCGTAATCACACGGTCATCTAGATTGAAAAAAGGCACTTGCTGGTCATTTTGTCAAATTTTAGTAAACAGTTAGATGACTGGTGTGTCGTTGGTAGAACGGCGTCCAACATACTGATGTGGGTTTGGCCTCCAACTAAAAAAGCTTAAGGAAAAACATAAATCGCCTACGTAGCCGCGCAATATGGGGTGTGAAGCGATTTCGTTGCATCCTCGTACTTAATCAGTCTATCTAGAAATCTTGTAACGGACATGTTATAAATAAATTCCAATAAACTTCTGTTTCGCCCTAAGATATAAAAAAAATTCATGCTTTTTCCTCCACTTATAAGAAGTAGCAGCTTGGTCAGAAGCAAAATGCACTAACGACTTGGAAGTTAAGTCAAGGTGTCCCAAAAGTGCCTTTGTTGCCTTCGACTTTAAGACGAATTTAAGAAAGTCTGTTGACCCTGAAGTACGCAAACTTCAGCAATGTGTCAACATATGCAATTGTTTTTCGCCGTTTATCCCTTTAATGCTTTCAGTGTTGTGAGGATTAGAGAAATTTCCTGCCCAAGTAACCTCGTCAGTAACACATGGTGCAGACTAAACGCAGAGGGTAAGTCTGCTCTCTAACAAATCCATTTGTTGTTATGTCTCGCATAGATTACGACCATACGAAAGTTAAACGGCCATCAAACATTTTACAATAGTATAATATGGATATACTTTGTCTGCATCATCGAAAAATTCTTATGGTATTTTTGCTTAAACCACAGGCCGAAATATGCTTATTTTATTAATGCAAGCATTTATCTGCTCATGTTTACTAGATTTGTATATTTAGGATAAGTGTTCACTTCAGATATAGCTTGTCTGACACCATAAGGCGATTATAACTTTCTAGTTCTTCTGAATCGTTTCTGCGTCTTTTACGTCATTTTCTGACACCTTCATTTATGCTTTGATTTGGCAATTCAGTTGTTGCATGCAACGACTTCCACCGTGTGCCCCACATGATATTGGTTATAATGAGGCGAAATTAAGCAGAATTTATCGCACTCTTCCCTCACTCACCTTAGTCGAGTGACAACCTAATGTCAGAATGATCGGTGGTTGGCGCAAGCGCAGGGACTAACCAGATTACCCTAAGGCGTACAGAAAGTAGTACTCACTGTATTTACCAGACTGTAAGAAGGGCGACTCAGATATAGCTGCGGTGAGAGCGCTATGACTGCCACTTTATAACCCGACTCCGTCCTGAGAGGCAGACCTACTCATACCGCCAATTGGCAGTGAGAAGTACACTAATTTGCCGTGATGTATTCCCCAGTGCCAATCTCACTCTCTCTTCCCACTTCATACACCAGCGTGCCCCTCTTCCAAGCACCAGGCTGACTTTAAAACAAGGCGTGCTGAAATTGACCGCGGTGGCTGATGCGGCGTGAGGGTCTGTGTCTAAGGTATGCCACCATCCGCATGTAGTTGCGGACTCAGTGCAGCTCGAAAACGTCGTATCTTAAGTTAGCGACTACCGTTTTCGTCAGGTGCATCGGCAACGTAGACAGTTGTAAAGCCCATGCCTTGCTTTACTACGGCTCTTTAGTGCGAATCCTAGTAGCACATTCGTAAAATACCTAGCGCACGTAAGCTTTGTTTACAAGTTTTTAGCCGTATTCGCAACATGACACTTGACTTCTCCCTCTAGCGATGCAGAACAAGTGTTTATTATGCAGTCCATAACCCCAGCTTTCGCAGGGGCCATCTCCGAACCCCCCTATCACTACATAGCTGTTTGAGTTTTTCAAGCAAGGCAAAGACAATCATCTGATTAATCTGTCACTTGTTGCCATTGGGCTTTGTTGAAACCCCTGAAGTAGGCTTGCAATCAATAGAAAATCAAGCCATGCCGTCTTCGCCACGATACTCATTTTTGTGGACAATGTCCCGCGAACCCAGCGACTGTCCACTGTCCGAAAGCTTTCAGTCGATGGTGTTTGTGCTCCACTCGCCAATCGCGTCTCCACTGAACGGACATGCTGTCAATTGAGAGTTAAATCTGTCGCAGAAGTCACCCGGTGTGACATGTCGTCCAAATCTGACGGTGATAGGAGAGGGGCAGCCGACCACAGATGTAGATATAGGCTGTATAGGATGTATATATAGGCCCGGAGCGAATGTTTCACTGCTCAATTTGCGCAAGGCTAGCATTCAGTACCCAGTGACCCCACAGCATGGAACAAGTTGAATCTGCCATTCGAGGATCTATGCAGATTTTGTTGCATTGTGCATATGCAGGTCTATTTATACAATTGTACTTAAACTCCCTTCCTCGGCACCCGGATATCAAGGATAAAAGCTGTCTTAGAAGCAGCTGAAAATTTTTTTTTAAATCTCAACTGACCCAAAGACTAATGGTTTTTAAAGCACTTTTCCCGTGTACGAATTTAAAACAGGCCTGCACAGTAGAATTTACTGGATCCAATACATTTCGTGACGGCATGTCAACTGAAACCCATAGCTAACGAATGGAAGTGCACAGAAATTTGAACAGTCATTTTTTTCTCTGTCGGGTTAACTACTTCTACTCTTTTCAAATTATCAGCAGGAACTCATTGTCTCATGTAGGAACCTTTCGCTTGGCTAGGAAGGTATAAGTTTCTTTGAATTTCAGACATCTCGGCGAACTTCCTTCGCTGGCAAACGTATTTCGTTGTCATTATTCATAGTTTTTCGCCATTGTTTATTCCTTTTTCGACTGTCACTTTCCTCAGCTTTCATGATTGTCGTGCGTTTGCAGGGGTGGTAGCCCCGATCACAGCACTACGATGTGGCAGCCTGACTGACTTAATCCTTCTGTTTTCTGACATCGAATCATAGAGATACTAAGGGGCTCCTTTTATATTCATCCCCTCCTTCAGGTGAGGCATGAACTTGGAATCGA